TTGAGCTATAGGCGCCGAGCCAGGGAATTCATAAATAAATATTTATACATACACATACAACTATTTGAGCTAATAAATAAATTCAGTGAAGTTTTAGGGTATACACAAAACCCAGTTACATTTATACACTTTAGCAATAAACAACCTGAAAAAGAAATTAAGAAAACAATTTCTTTTTTTGAGACAGTCTCACTTTGTCACCCAGGGTACAGTGCCTCATAGCTCACAGCAACCTCAAACTCTTATGCTCAAGTGATCCTCTTGTCTCAGCCTTCCAAGTAGCTGAGATAACAGACCCCCGCCACAACACTCAGCTATATTTTAGAGATGGAGGCTCACTCTTGCTCAGGCTAGTCTTCAACTTCTGAGCTCAAGCAATCCACCCACGTTGGCACCCCAGAGTCCTAGGATTACAGGCATGAGCCACCACACCTAGCTCAAGAAGATAACTTCTTTCACATTAGCATCCAAAAAAACAAAATACCTAAGGACAAAATCAGCTAAGTACTAAATCTTTCATTATAAAAGATTTATACTGAAAAACTACAAATTTTGCTTAAAGAAATTAAAGAACACCTGGCTTGGCGCCTGTGGCTCAAGCGGCTAAGGTGCCAGCCACGTACACCTGAGCTGGCAGGTTCAAATCCAGCCTGGGCCCGCCAAACAACAGTGACAGCTGCAACCAAAAAATAGCCATGCATTGTGGCAGGCAACTGTAGTCCCAGCTACGTAGGAGGCGGAGGCAGGAGAATTGACTGAGCCCAGGAGTTAGAGGTTGCTGTGAGCTGTGATGCCACAGCACTCTACCCAGGGCAACATCTTAAGGCTCTGTCTCAAAAAAAAAAACAGAAAAGAAAAGAAAAGAAATTAAAGAACACCTAAGTAAATGGAAAATCATCTCATGTTCACATATCACAACAATCAACATCATTAAAACAGTAATACTCCATGAAAAATCTGCAGATTCAATGTAAGCCTTATTAAATGGCCTTTTTTGTAGAAATGAAAAAAACTGCTTCTCAAATTTACATGGAACTACATGGGGCCCTAAATAGGCAAAATAAAATAGAAAAAGAAAACAAAGTAAGAGGACCCCATTTCCAATTTGAAAACTTACTATAAAGCTATAATAATCAGAACTGGCTAAGAGGCTTGGTGCCCACAGCTCAGTGGTTAGCGTGCTGGCCACATACACCAGGATTGGC